GAGTGATGCTCTAATTACAACCCTGAAAATATTCACGAACAGCCACTCCTCTGCTGAACTTTCCAAAAGAATTTAAAAAACTGATTCTTTCCCCCCTGAACATGTCCTCCTAAGCAGCAGCACCAAGACTAAGGCACACCTATGTTTCCCCTCACTACAGGTTTCAGGAGCCTGCTGACATTCTCCTAACACCGTAAACCACAGGGAGAATCCAAGTTTAGTTCAGTACACATTTTTAATCCCTTGTTTTTAAGCTACTCTAGCATAATCTTAAATCAATAAGGTTATCTTTCTATAGGTTTAGAAATCAAGTCCTTTAAATTGAATAAAAAGGCTGAAACTTACTCAGCTGAACACTGAGACCTTGATTCTGTTCTGCCCGTCCCACAGCTCAGCGACTCTGAACCGTAACCAAAGCTAACTGGAGCCTCCACTAAGCCCATGATGAGCTTCAAACATAGCTGGACACTAGATCACCAAGCAGTTGACCTTCGAACTCCTCCAGGACGCTGCAGCAAAAGAGCTTTTTCTAGAGGCTAGAGTAATGGCTCTCGCCTTATTGCCACAGGAAATGAGATAGAGTTCAGCACACGCACCCCAACGTGAGCCCGTCCTGTCAGACGGGCACCAAACCTGGCTACGTGGAAATACAAGGTTATTCTTAGCAACTCTCAGATTTCAATACAGCAACAGCAAGAGCCAAGAAAGGCAAACAGCAAAGTGCCTGTTCCCACTCCTCGTCCCGATACACTGTGTATTGCAGTAATTCCAGGTTTCTCCCATATACACAAGTGTTGTCTTCATTGGTTTGGCTGAAGGCCCGTCCCCACATGATGTTTCTTTAATCCAACAACAGGACTGGAAGGTCACCCTCCCACCTGTTTGTAACCTCAAAGCATTGTTACAAGAAGGAGTAAATGTTACAATTTGAACATGACCGGAACAAGATTCTGCAAAGACTGTCAAACTGCAGGAAAACTATCACAATAAAGGCACAAGACTCCTCAAAAAAGAGCAGGAGGGGGAGAAAATCCCTTAGACATTACTTGGCTGTGCCTAGGAACTCCAGAGGACACCATGCTACCAAGCAGTCGCGAGCACATTCACCTTGGCAAACGGAAGAGACAGTACAATTCCCTTTTACAGCCCCTAAATTTATACCCCAGTATCACCATCAGGAACTCGAGTTCTCTGACCAGCACTCCACGTGCAGATGCTGCAATCGGTTCCTTGAGTGTGCTAAGGGTCGTCACGACAACATTTCTGACTAATGTACTGACCTGAAAGTCAGCGTGCTTCAGCCAGCTGTCAGTGCTGCAATTCAGCCTCGGCTCTTACAAACAAGGCTACATTACAAATGTTCAGAAGGGCAATTTCCAAAAGGGCCATCAGTACCTCCCGTGCCCTCAGCGTGCAACTGGAAGTTTTATTATCCTGAGAGAGGCTAGATGGGACACTTAAACATGCGCTCTAGTAATATTTCTAGCAACATTTCCACAAGCCAGACTTTCTAAAAAGCTTTCATTTCAACTCACACATTATTAAGATCTATGGCTCATTCAAAAGGCTCAAGGCAGCTTGTGAAACACGTGAATGTGTGAAGTGCATTGTGTTAAAGAACAACACAAACCTCCTCACTGCTGAAAGAAGAATCAGTGAATCAACAGTGGTTTATGTCACTTTCATGGATGAAGATAAAAATACAGGTGGAAAGGATTGCTGGGACAAACAGTTTCACAGAACGTGCCTCAGCTGAGCGCAAGGCTGCAGCATTCTTCAGTGAGAAGCACACAGCTCTAACACTGAGAAGGCTTACGCCCAAAGGCACACTGATCTGAAGTCTCTAGAGGCACCTACAAATTATTTCTTTAAAAAAAAAAAAAATCACACAACAGACTTGCTGATAAATCACTTGTTGGTCAATATGAAGCAGCAAATCACTAAGGTGGCTCTTTCAGTCAGTTAAAAATGCTTACTACAGTTAGAAGACAACCAAACTAGCTTAGAGAAACAGCAAGTCCCTTAATCACTTGTTTATATTTCAGGCAGCATATCTGCGTGCTGAGGCACTGGTTTTGAAATAGTCTCCAAACATCGTTACAGATTCTGCTCTCCCCAAGTTTTACACTCTAGTGTTCAGTAATATCAGGCTATTTAATGCTTGTCAGTCTTCTAAGAAAACTTTGGCTAAGTTTTCTAAGAAGTCTTTCTAAGTTTTCTACGAAGTCTTTGGCTGTTACTGTGTGATCCCATGCTGACCATCACCTTCTGTGCTGTCTGAGCAGGAGGTCCCAATGCCCCCATCCCCGCTGTCAGCCACACTTGAACAGCGACTGACACGGCTCTGGAACTTCACAGACAACATAGGTGTTTTCCAGTCAGTCTCCAAGAAATGACTCTTCTGACTGGTGCTGGGATCTGGAGAGGAAAAGCCAGGGATATTTATGTTTTAGCCAACAGACTGAAAAGCCTTTTAATACACCTAATTAAGCCATATCTAATTACCCATGCTACCAAAACCCAAACTGATCCTTGCTTGACTCCCCATATTGTTGCTAAAGAAATCTCTTTTGCAAAAGGAAATGACAGCAAGCACAAGGAAGTCAAATAATATCAACAGGAGACTGAAAATCAATCATGTTATGGAAGTCAGAATGCAAAAGCAGTAAGTTATATTCCTATTGATAAGTTTGGTGATATTACACCCAGCTGATGCTCTGATACTCAGACTAAAAAGAAGAGCAACAACATTGGCACACAGCAAAACTGGTTAAATTAAAGATATATTTTTGTATTAACTGTTAAGAACTCTCCCAGATTTATCAGTTATCACTAAAGAGACAGGTTCATTATCAAATGATTCTCTACCCTTGCATACCCATGCAATTGTTTCATTCTGCAGGAAAAGACATTGTTTTTTTAATAAAAAGATTTTAGTAAAGAACCCTTCTCAGGGCCACAGGTCTCCTCAGAGAAACTGAAACAGGATCCGACAGCAGCAGGGCTTTAAAGAAAGGACTGTCCTTACCCGATGGATTGTTCTGCTGGAGCCTCAGGTCTGGATGTTTCTCAAGAGCAGCCATCTTACCTATCCAGTGAACTACAGGACAATAAATACAAATCATATTTTAAATCAGCATAAACCAAACCCTGTTCCCACTAACCCAGCGAAGGGTACATACACATCAGCTACTCTTCATTCAGAGTAACACAGTATTTCATATTTAATTAGCATCTCCTCCCAAGGGTATCTCTGTTTCATCCTCGCAGCAACAGAGGCAATACTTAAAAAAACCCTTGCAGTTATTGTAGCTTTTCTTCATGCCTGAGAAATGAGGAGAGTTCCTGTTTCCAACATTCTCCAGGTATGCAGCAGTTCAGCAGCGCCTTTCAACTGGGGCATGTGTTATCCCCATCATAGTTATTTATAGAGCATCAGTCACCATGGTACCTACACGCTGGCTTTATGTCTCTAGAGACTAAAAATTTCCCTTTAAAAGTCTTAACTCTAAACCAGTTCATTTCTGCCCTCTGTAGAGGTCACTCAGCAACTACATGCAGAAATGCAGTCATTCAAAACTTAGTGTTGCTGTTCCATAAATGGCAATCATCATCTATCCAGAGCTTTGGTTTAATTTATCTGCTTATCTGAGTATTTCAGACAGTGAATTTCCTGCCTCTGATGATGCAAGTATAATTTACAGCTCCCAGGCTTCACTGTGGAAATTCAAGGCCTCTCTCCACTCCACCAGCCAAATACTAAATCCTCGATCACCAGCTGTTACAGATTTTTGCTTAAGTGATTCAAAGAGCTCACAGAAACCATTAATTCTTAGAAAACATACATATACAGATTTTACAACATAGGATAGACATTGGGAACACAATAGGATAATGAACCAGAAGCAGCATTTCACCCAGCGAGGTAGTAAAACACTTCTAGCTAAACACAGTGGTTATTATGTTTAATTTAGGTATGTTTCTGAAATTCCCGACTTTAAATCTCAGTCTCCAGCACTACAGTCAGGCAGTTAACAGGGAAATTCAAGCGTGGGCTCTTGAAATAAAACAGACAAAGCAACCAAAGCATTCCCACCTCAGTCAGCACCACCCTCTCACAAACACACCCCCCCACGAAGAGCACCCACGCCATCTTACACACCATCCCCTCCCAGCAGCGGGCACAGGGCAGACTCTGCAGAGGGGGTGGGAAGGGAGAGGTGGGTCACGAAGGGAGGGGGAGCAGCGCTTTACCCGACGGTGGGGGAGAGCTTGGGGGGGGTACGTGATGTGAAGGCAGGCTGCGGGGGGGAAGGGAGGGGGGAATGCCCTTCGCCCCCCAGAAGGGGATGAGGAGAAGAGTGATTTGGGTGGAGGGAGGGGAGAGGGGAAGGCAGT